TTTTATTATTATTATTATTATTATTATTATTATTATTATTATTATTATTATTATTATTATTATTATTATTGCTATGCTATGATATTCGTTTAACCAATAATTCTTTTCAAGTTGATATCGCGAGCAATCATGATATACGTAGACATTAGTGGAGTGACATAAAAGGCTCTTAGTCAATGATTTTTTTTCAATTTCTATTAACTGTCTGATATCATTTTTATATATAGGTGCAGAGCCGGGAATGGTGGACTATAATTTGTGGCCGTTTTTAGAGATCCTGAAAAACTTGGAAATATCGTATAATGAAAACTACTTAAATGAAAAGATACCATTCTTGAACGGGTACATAAGGGATATGATGACCGATGAAGCAGTAAAATCCACCTACATCTCGCCAGAGATATATATGCGTTATCTAAATTCCATGTTATCTGGTAACTCTCAGTACGATGGATTGGAACTGTAAATGTGCTCGTGAAATGCCTGTCCACTGTACTCAGGGCGTTACAGTCGCCGCGCATGCGCAGAGTTCGTTAAATTCCGTGCACCTTCCATGTTCCGTGTAAGCAGACGCGTTGCAGTGGCGGCGGCACGAGATGGAGGAGGACTGAGCGGGCGATCGCTTCCTCGGAAAAAAAATATTTTAGGGGCGTGATTCAAAATCAAGTTGAAACCCCTATGTGACAGCAAAATTACCCCCTCAAAATGCAGAAAATAGCGTTTCAGGCAGTCTATATTTCAAAATTTCTAAGGGGGAGAATACCCCCGGACCCCTAGTAAGGTCGCGCCTTTGGCGCAAGGTTGGTGAGCAGATCTCGCCCCCACCCCTCCCATGCAAAACATGCCACAGCGCTACGACTGGGACGCCCCCTCATAGTGTGCCAGAATAGTAATCTTCATAAACTTATACTATGGATAATTATTTGTAATTATATAACACTGACATCATTTCAGGCAATAAAATATGTGTATTGAAGTAGTGCAGACTCTCCGGTGTTTTACTTTTGTAACATGCTTCCGTTGCAGTCGGTGTAGATCGATACCCTTTGCAGGTCTGAACATTCCGAGAAAATTACGTCTGCATATGTTTTGTTTCAGTGTCGTTATATCATTGTATGTTTGTCTTTATTCACATCTGTATTATATTTTAGTCAAAATTCTAATAGGGATACGAACGCAATAAAGATAATTATTATTATAATGTTTAAATAAAGGACTAGGCATATTATAGGAGGCCGGCGTGTTAGGGAGAGTTACATTAATCTACACAGCATTTTATACCTTCAAAATTTGTAGCATAAATAAACAAACCAATGTAACAAAATCAGAATACAATTTTAATGATTTTATGATACTAAATATGTGTGATGTGTTCAGATTAGTGATACCGTGCATGTTTTTTTTAAATAGTTTGAAAAAACAGCGATCCTAAATTATCAATTATCTCACTAACAGTGTTATACAGGTCCTAATAAGTCTACAAAAATTGTCACATGGCGATTTTCATGAGTTAGTCATTTATTAGTCTTGTCAAAATTGCACATTTCGTGCCCCGTTTTCAGAAAACTTAAAACTGTTATCCTCAAAAGAGTTACAATCTGTATGAGG